AGGCTGCGGTGGCCGGGAGCGGCCACTGCACTCCAGTCTGGGTGAAAGAGTGAGACTCCAACTCAAAAAAAAAAAAATAAATAAATAAAAATAAAATATTTCATTTCACTACTAATCTAAAGAATCTGTACTACTTTGTCTTTAATTCCTACTTGCATTCTTCCCTTCCCCAACAGAGCTTTAGAAATAGCCATTTAGGAAGGGTACAATTAGAGGGATTCTTTATCCCATTAAGGCCTTTTGGTGTTTCTTTTCATTGATCCCTCCATAATATTAAAAGTAAATCCCAGATTGGCCTAGACTTGCAGAGCTGAGAGGTCAAGGCTTCAGGCCAAGGAGAATCTGCCTCTGTTTCCACAGAGGAAATAAATCCACTGGAACATGAACAAGCATTGCAGGTTTTGAGGCCTGGACTCAGAGAAGACCTTAACATTCTTTTTCTCAGCACGAATCAAGGATGCCAGTATCATGCCAAAGAACCAGGCAATGCCAAAGACTGTGGAATAAGTTGGGCATATCTGAGTCTGACTCAGCTTTTGGAGACAGGCACAACTAGGCAGGACTTTTGATTTTGTATTGATGCTATAAATCACCTGTTCTGTTTTGTTTTTGTTGTTGTTTTTAAAGGGGGATGAATGTTTCCTGGGTACTTTTCTAATAGGAGGAGAAGGAGCATATCTTTATTCCGGCAATCTACAGTCCTGGCCTGAGGAAGGTAAGGAGCTATGACTTTGCTCTTGGTTTTGTCTGGGTCCCTCATTTGCAGATGTTGTCATCTTAAATTTTTGCCTATGGCAGTCTACTCTCCGGCCTCCATAATTCTTGCCTCTCCTTTATGTGAATCACAGTCACTTTCTCCTAAGCATCTCATTATGGCAACAGTTTGAAGCCCTAAATCTCATGGGCTAAAATATGTAGAATCAAGACTATCTAAATCCCATGTAGATGAGGCTTGGGAATGTAATCTGTCAAGTACAACTCCAGAACACAGTTCCTCTCCTTGTCTCTGGACCTGTGAAACTAAAGAGACAAATCGTGTACCCCAGCCCTCCTAACATACAAGGTATGACTGGAGTAAACTTCAGGTTCATGAGGGTGAAAAGCAGAAGGTAAAAAGGAATCCCTAGTCCAGGGCAGCTTTGAAGTCCAGCTGGGCAAACTCCTGTTCCTTGATCAGGTTTCAAGGTCTGGGAATGATCTTGGCTGTCAGCTCTACCCCCCTGGGCTCTTCCCTCTGGGCTTGTGGCTACATCTCTCCTTCTTCCTTTTTCAGTGAAACTTAGTACCTTGTTTTAGCCTAGTAGTTTTATCAGCCTGCTTCTTGCTAGTAGAATTTGAGGGTCCAACGGTCTCCTTTGATTTTATGCACCCTCTGTCCCTTTTAGTCCAGGCTGGCAGTGTTTCTGCTGATATAAAATTCTCAAAAACCTTGTTGATCTTGCATGGATTTCACAGGGGTTCACTCCACGTTCCTTTTGACTTCCTCAAAATAGCACTCATTTTCTTATGAGTCCTATTCTTTTCCTGTTGAATATAGCTTTTATGCGGGGGAGGAGTTCTGACTTACTCCACAAATTCCTCAATCTCTACTAAGCAAATCCCCTTTCTGGATGATTTGTTCTTCTTGTTGAAATATTCTATCCGGTGGCAAATTCCTCTCCCTGTTCTCAGATCACTGGTTCAGCTTCTGCTCCTTCCTTCACATAGAAGACAAAGCATAAGGAGTTCTGGGTTTTGATCCATCTCACATAATGCTGGGGTGGTAATGGCGTTTGTTATAATGTCTGTCCCTACATTTCTGCCTCTCGAGATCTTAGTGCAGAAGACCTGGGAGTTGGGAACATTTGCCGAAGTCTTGAAGTGTATGGCAATGCTACGAGCCTTGGGGCAAGATGGCATCATGTTTTGAAAGCAGGTTGTAGACACAGCACAGAGGTGGTTTGTGCACTGTCATCCTTGAGCCAATTATAATATTTAGTAAGGATATTTGCCAAAATTAGTTTGCACCTTCTTAGCAAAGAGCCTTGTTAGAGAAATAGTCTTGCATTGTACTGAGTTATCCAACAAGATTCAGTGTGTCCTGAAGTCTCTGTGTAAGAATAAAGGACACAGCCAGGGGTTTCTGAAAACTTGTTAGTCACTCCCTTTTGAAAACTTAGATTTAAAACTTTCTTAGTTCCTGAGGAAAATCTATTTTGAATTAGGAGGTGGTTTTATTTTATTTTATCTTATCTTATTTTCTTTTGAGTTGGAGTCTTACTCTGTCACCTAGGCTGGAGGGCAGTGGCACACTCATGATCATCATCATCACTCAGGTGATCCTTCTGCCCCAGCCTCCTGAGTAACTGGGACGACAGCCATGTGCTACTACATGTCGCTCTTTTTTTATTATTATTTGTAGAGACAAGATCTCACTATGTGGCCTAGGCTGGTTTCAAACTCCTGGGCTCAAGCTATCCTCCTGCTTTGGCCTCCCAAAGTGCCCAGCCGCCATGCCCTGTCAGGAGGTAGTTTGCTGAGGCAGGAAAATCCAATAGAAGCAGAGAGTTTCCCTGGCTGTGTGATAAGCATTTTACCACTTTGGGGTTCAGGTCAGGAGCTGATCTAGGTTTTGTGGGGCTTAGGTTTATACCATTTGGGGGCTCTCTTAAAGGAAAATAATACAGAATGGTTGTGGCTCTTCTTAGAACCTTAAAAGGAAGCTTGGACAGGTGAGGAGTCCTGAAGTTCAAGTGCCATTAGTGTCTTGATAAATCTGCCTCTTGTTCAGACAGTGGTGAGCTTGAAGTGTATCTGTTCCCATCCCTTGAAGGTGTTTATCTTGAGCTCCTCAGCATAATTATCTTGGTTAATCTCATACCCTTACTCCTGTGGAAGGTGAAAGCTTGCTCAAGGTTATAGTGCAAGTTAATGGCATCTGAAGGGTGGTTCATTCTGAAGGATAGCCTTCCGATTTCACCCATCAGATTACTTACAGATGTGAAGAACAGTACCTCCTTTACCTTGAAATGTTTTCAGCTCTGGAACCTTTTCTCTTCCTCAGTTAGTGGCTTCACAAAACTTCTTGCTATTCAGCTTCCAGTTCATTCATGTCCTTCATGTGTCTTTTTCTTCCCCACTCTGCTGACTTTGACTGGGCAGACTGCCCAGTATCTAATCCTCAGGAACCTGCTTTAGAGTTTTACCACATATGCCTATATCCCTAAACAGTGCTTTATTTTGAATTATTAAAAATAAAATCATGCCGGGCTTAGTGGCTCACATCTGTAATCCCAGCACTTTGGAAGACTGAGGTGAGAGGATTGCTTGAACCCAGGAGATTGAAATCAGCCCAGACAATACACCAAGACCTTATTTCTGTGAAAAAAAAAAAAAAATTAGTCGAACATGGTGGCACATGCCTGTAGTCTCAGCTACTCGGGAGGCTGAGGCAGAAAGGAACACTTGAGCCCAGGAGGTTGAGGCTGCAGTGAACCATGATTATGCCACTGCACTCCAGTCTGGGTGACAGAGTGAGACCCTGATTCAAACAAACAAACAAACAAACAAATCATACTGTGTGTATTCTCCTGTTTTTTGTTGTTGTTATTGTTCAATATTATGTTCTTAGGATTCATCCAGATTGTTGTGTACAATGAAGAGGTACCAAAAAAAATCCAGAATTATATTTTGGAGAGTAAACCCCTTTGTAGTACAGGCTTCCCCTGCGGAGCAAATGTTCTAGGAATCTATCGGCATCAGTGTAACAGCTAGTGTTGTTGTGAGCGGCTGCGTTTGGCTTCAGTGAATTTTCTTTTTTTTTTTTTGGTGAGTCTTCCAACATGTTTGCCCATCTCATGATAGGTGACTTATGAGCGCACCTGCTCATACCACACTGAGTGTTCAGCAGTTTTTGACCAAAAACAGCATGACCCCTGTGCCCCACCTTCTGAAGTCACCTGATCTTAGCCTGCGTGTCTTTTTTTGTTTGTTTGTTTCCATGCTGGGGAGGCCCAGACAGTAGTGGTCTCCTGTCTGCTGCCTTCATTCAGCCCCCCTCATGCATCACCCTGTGTCCACATGAAGTGGTTGAGGGGTGTCTTTTGAAAGAATGTTCTCCACAACACTGAACACAAATGAACATACAGCTGCATATTGTCTGCCATGTAGATGACTCTCAGGAACAAAAAGTTGAGAGAAGGAAGCAAGTCAAAGAACACATGATGAGGATTTCATTTATATAAAAGCAAAAACAGACAAGACTAAGGAAGGTACAGTTTATAGATGCATTCAAATGTGGCAAAACTGTCCAGAATTCAGGACGTTGGTTTCCCTGGGTAGGGGAGAAGGGCTGCCACTGAGGAAGGGCATCCAGGGGCTTCAAAGGTACTAGTCATGCTCAATTTCCTGGGCTAGGTGGTGAGAGCATTGGTGTCTGGGTTTCGCTGGTGTTACTTTAGTTTTTTTTTTTTCTTTAACCATATCTGTACATTTCAAACACTGTCACAGAAACAAAATAAAAATCATCCCGCCATTGCATCATAGTATTTTTCCAGCAATAATAAATGTTCCCTCTTCACACAGGCTGGACTGTTGGAAGATTTTTTTTTTTTTGAATTGGAGTCTCACTCTGTCACCTACACTGGAGTGCAGTGGCCACTCCTGGCCACCACAGCCTCGACCTGCTGGGCTCCAGGGATCCTTCCGTCTCAGCCTTCCAGGTAGCCGGAATTATAGGCACGCACTACCATGCCTGGCTGATTTTTTTTTTTTTATTTATTGTAGAGATGAGGTCTCGCCAAGTTGCCCAGGCGGGTCTCGAACCCGCGAGCTCAGGCAATCCACTCACCTCGGCCTCCCAAAGCACGGGATTACAGCTGAGCCACTGAGCCCGGCTGTTGGAAGATTTTTATTTGCACAGTCAATTTTTGAAAGAGGAAAAGCCAAATTCCTCGTTTGACCCTTGATATCTTATTTGCCCTATGGGCTTGTCCCTCTCCTTTTAGACTTCCAGGGATGCAAAGGTCAAAGACAGAACCATACTGCAGCCCCCTACTGCTTTTTTGGGCAGTGATAGGAAACTTCCTCTTACTCTGAGTTTTCAAACTTACAGAATGAAAAAGGAAGGATAGAGCTCACCCACTAGAAGCACCAAGGATGAAACAAGGAGCCAGGGAGGTCTTCTCAAGAGTTGGCCACTCCAGTCCCTGAGAAACCCCTGCAAAGGCATGTCGCTTCAGACCACAGGCTGGCACTCAAGAATCTAGAGCAGATACCAAAAGTGTTATCACTTCAGGTGGATTGGGATCTCAGAGACCCAAGACAGTGGCCCACCCATTGAGTCACTTCATTTATCTCATGTATGCACTGAGAATAATGACAGAGTTACTGCTCACAGAGCCAGGCCTAGGGTTGCCTGAGATCACAGGGCAGTACTACATCAGATCCTGTTTACTGAGACTTTACCCTGGGCCATGTCTCATAATGAGTGCTTTTCTAGCACTGTTTTGCGAACCTATGTCTTTCCCATTGTTTTGAGGCTTCAGAGTCTAGAAGAAGAGGAAATACTGGAGAAGATTTCCTTATCCACCTCTTTCCCATCTTCCCAGTGAGTAGGTAGAATATGCCAACTTCTGTGATCCCTGTTTTTTTCTGGAAGCTTTAGAAGGATTGTGAGTTTTGTCCAGGAGAACCTTGAGTGGTTTTGGACTTGTTTCTGAGATGCTTCATTCAGAGGTATACAGGTGGTGGACTGAGCCCAGGACAGGAAAGGATGCAGATACTAAATGATAAATTGGGGAGCAGCTTCTACCTCACAGTTTCTACCTGTGAAGCTCTCTTATCTCTGGAACAGTAAGTAGAGTCATCCTGTGGCAGAATTGATGAGGTTATGGTTTTAGGAGAGTGTTGAAGGTCTTGAATGAGCTCTGAGGTCTGGTGGAAGGAGTTGGGGGATAGCAGTGGACAGGCTGTTGGGCAGCACTGTGGCCTGTTGAGTTTGAGGAAACAGAGGGCACATCCTCAGATTTGCCACACCTGGGCTTTGTACAAAATGGGGGGGTAAGGGGGGGACTGCAGGGGCCAGCACAGTACAGTGCCTTTGGCATAAGACAAGCCTGTATTCTATACCTGGCTCCACCACCAAGTACTTCTGTGATTTTTGGGGAAATCCCTCTAAGCTTGGGTTTCCTCATCAGACCCATGAGAAGAATAATACCACTTCTTACAATTGTTGTGAAAACAGAAAACTCACGTATATGACATACGTGGTGCTTAGTAAATACTGAGTAAAACCTGTTCTTATTTTTTTCTCTTGACAAAACAGAGATTAAAGCTAAGTCTTGTCCCAGGGATCTGCCCTTGAGGTGAATGAGAGGAATGTCAGAAATTTCTGAGCAGTAGGGGAAAATGGGGGGACCAACAACTTAGGGAACTTTGTGGGTATAGGCAGTGAGATAGCTAAAAGGGGGATGGGGTGCTGGAGTTAGAGTAGTTGCTGAGCTGGAGATTTCAGAAGTTGAGACATTCTGAGTACAGCTTTACTGCTCTCAGAAGGAATGGGAGAGTTGGTAGTGGACAGGAAAATTGAGCACATTCAGAAGCTATTTGAAATGCTGTTGGTCAGGAAGGCAGTGGATGTGAGCAGTAAGGGAGGAAAGGGTTTGTGTCTCTAAGGGAATGAAAGTATCCTGCCAGGTTCTGGGCGCAGTGGCTTACGCTTGTAATCCCAACACCTTGAAGGCCTAGGTGGGAAGATTGCTTGGGGCCAAGAGTTCAAGATCAGCCTATCAGCCTGAACAATATAGTGAGACTCGATCTCTTATAAATGAAAGAAGGGAGGAAAGCAGGGAAGATGAGAAAAGAAAAATCATGCCAAGGTGGAAGGGAATGGCCTGGGAGCAGCACTGAAGAACCTTGGGATTGGTACGGGGTGAGGCTGGGGCGTGAGTAACCTCTTTTCAGAAGAGCAATAGGGCAAGGTGCTATGTAGGCTTCTTGTTGGAGGGTAGAAGGCTGACAGGACTTGAACCTGGATGCCATGAGCTGGACTGGCTGGCCACTGGCTGCTGCTACCCCAGAGGGTAAGGTTGGCATATCCCTCTGACTGGATATCTGGTTCTTCTATTGAGAGTCAGCCTCCAGTCCTTCCTGTTGTACCTAGAAACTACCTTCACCTCCCATTCGCTTCCTCCATTCCCCCATGAACAACACGTGAGCTAGGCCCCTCTCTCCTTCTGAAACCCTACCTCCTCAGGAAACCTTCAAACTTGCAGTCTCTGGATTCCTTACCCAGAATATAAAGGCAGCCCTTAGGCTCCTGGCCTTTGCTCTTCTTGTCATTACAACCTCCATAGCTTGGGGCTACTTTTCTAGAGCTACAACTCAATCTCAGTCTTTCTTCTTTGTCTCCTGTTCTTTGCCTTGGCAATAAAATCTTAATGATAGTATACTCAAACCTGTCCTTGAGCTCCAAGAATTACCTTATCTCTTCTCTATATGTGAAAACGGGGGAACAAAGACTGTTACAGGAGCAGAAAAGGAACAGAGAGGATCCAGTTTGGACCAACTCCAGAGAGCAACTTCACCCAGGAGGCTTATGGAAGCTCTGGGTGCTTTTGGGTCTCCAAAGCAAGCCTGGGCCTAGCCTTAGTCTTTGTTATCTTAGTTGTCTATCAGTGCTGTGATCTGTTCCCTAGGTCCATACTGAGCTGCTCTGTATGACTTTGGCCACGCGGGAAACAGCAGCTCTCCTTAGACCTGAAACCTTGACCTGAGGAGCCTACTCATCACTTAACTCAAATAATGTTTTCCTGGGCACAGGGACCTTAGACTCCTATCACTAGATCTTCAGCTGAGTCCTTAACGTTTCTTCTTGGGCCCTAAGTGAGGGACACGGTCTTTCTAGGGCTGAACTGGCTTCTTCCAAAGCAGGAGAAAGGAGAATCTATAAACTCAACAATGAAACAGACAAACACAGTCGTTTTTAGTGTGTTTTCCTAGAAATGAATGCAATATAAGGTAATGTGAGTTTTGCTTCTCCCCATCAACTGATAGTTTATTCATTTTTAAAAAAATTCTCATGTAAAGACTGCATCTGATGCTTCATTTCTCTCTGGGCAGTTACTTTGGCTTCCTCAGGGCACAGGGCTCAGCATACAAACCCTATAACTTAAATGCTACTGATATTGGTCTCTAGTTACCACTCTGGTGTGTCCTGGTATACAAGAAGGACATTGAAATCTGGCCCCCAGGATCCAGCCCTCCAACTCTGACCAGCTTCCTTTTCCTTCCAGGGAATCTGCATTTCTTCTCTAATGGCCTTCTGTTTTCTCACTGTCATCACGGAAGTATCATCATTTCCAAGGATCACATGAACTCCATTTCCTTCTTTGATGGGGTAGGTGTTTTACTATTTAATGACTTTTGTGGTCAAAAAGATTGTCACGAGTGGATTGCCTAAGCCTGCGGGTTCGAGACCCGCCTGGACAACTTGGCGAGACCTCATCTCTATAATAAACCAAAAAATCAGCCGGGCGTGGTAGCACGCACCTGTAGTTACAGCTACTCGGAAGACTGAGGCGGAAGGATCGCCAGAGCCCAGCAGGTCGAGGCTGCGGGGCAGCGGGAGCAGCCACCGCACTCCAGTCTGGGCGACAGAGTGAGATTCCAACTCAAAAAAACAAATAAATAAAATTAAATGAAAAAAAAAAATTAAACGGGCATGGTAGCGCATGCCTGTAGTTTCTGCTACTTGGAAGGCTGAGGCGGAAGGATCGCCAGAGCCCAGCAGGTCGAGATTGCAGTGGCCGGGAGCGACCACTGCACTCCAGTCTAGGTGACAGAGTGAGACTCCAACTCAAAAAAAAAAAGATTGTCACATTTTTAGGGGACAACCAGATAACTCCTTTCTCCCTCTACTACCACAGGGCAAGATGTCAGGAACCAGAACAGCTATTGAGGCAGGCAGGCAGGGCGGTCATGGAGAATGCTGGGCACTCTTGGGGCACTTAGGACCCTCATCAACCTCACTGTTTTGTAAGGGCTTAGCTACAAAGGGCTTCTGGTCAGAAGGGCCAGCCGCTCCCTATGCCCATTCACTCCTCCCAAAGCTGACTAGAGAGCAGGCTGAGAAGGCCTCCAGTGGCTCCTCACAGGTGGCATTCAGCCCCGGGACACAAAGGCTTACCCACTGAAGAACTGGAAAGAAGCTCCATCCTGTGTGCGTTGATGAGGCTCCACTTACACATTAGCGTGGGACAGAATTATAAGTGAGCCAGAGAGGGAAAGAAATGGCTGACTTTCCCCATGAGGGCTTAGCCCCAGCTCCCTTACTCAGACTAAACCTTTAGCTCGGTGAACGTTCTACCTCTGCCTCCACCAACCATCCTCTAAGTGTACCAACACTGCTCCTTCCTCTTAGGGGGAAGAAGGTAGCTATGAGTGTCCCTAGCCTATGCTCACTGGTCAGGGCACAGCTTCTCTCTCCATGCAACACAAGAGCAGAGAGCAGGCCCTCTACTCTGACTGATCTCAGCCTCAAAACCAACCTGTTTGGAGTCAGGACAGAGACTAGGTAAGATGTTTTGGTCAGATGGCTCAGAAAACAAATTCTGTGAGCAAGTTTTTTTCCCACATAGAGCCTATTGCCGTAAAGGCTGTTTAGAAATGTAGGCAGATCAGCCAGACAGATGGATGACCCTGATAGAGAAAAGCTTTGAAATTAGGTTAATGAGTCTTCCAACATCAGGGAAGAAAGGATGTATCATTTAAGAAAAAGAACTAGAATAAGAAGTTAGCTGATTTGGAGGAAAAATAGATTCTTACCCATACCAAAAATCAAGATAAACTTCTAATGAATTAAAATGAAATATTTTTAAATTTCACAAGTAGAAAGGAAAATATAAAAATGAATATTTATTAAACCTCTAGGGGAAGGAGGACTTTCTAAGCTTAGAAACAATACAAGAAATTCTGAAGGAAATGTTTGTCAAATTTGACAAATTTCTCTCTCTCTCTCTCTCTCTCTTTCTCTCTCTCTCTCTCTCTCTCTCTCTCTCTCTCTCTCTCTCTCTCTCACATTCATTTTTTGAGTTGGAGTCTCACTCTGTCACCCAGACTGGAATGCAGTGGCTGCTCCCAGGCACTGCAGCCTTGACCCGCTGGGGCTCCAGCGATCCTTCCGCCTCAGCCTTCCAAGTAGCTGGAATTACAGGCACGCGCTACCATGACTGGCTAATTTTTTGATTTACTGTAGAGATGAGGTCTCACCAAGTTGCCCAGGCGGGTCTCAAATCCACGGGCTCAGGCAATCCACTCCTCTCAGCCTCCCAAGGTGCTGGAGATGTTGACTTTAAATACAATTAACTGTTAACTGTATCCGCTTAAAGCTTTGGCAGATGCATGCACTCATAAAACCACCATCACAAACCCAAGCATTTCCTCATGCCCTTCTGCAGTTCATCCTTCCCTCCACTCCTGAGTTCAAACAATCATCGATAAGCTTTTTGTCACTGAGGATTAGTTTGCATTTTCTGAAATATCATATAAATGAACATCATATATTCTGTACCCTTTGAGTCTGGCATTTTCCACTGAGCATAATGATTTTTAGATTCACCCATGAGCATATATAAATAGCTGGTTCCTCTTTATTGCTGAGTAATATTCCATTGTATGGCTATATCATAACATTTATCAGGCTAATTAGTAAAACTAAAAGTTAGTAAAACTCTAAAAGTTATTTCTGGAAATGGGAAGAAGGGGTACAGAGTTACAGTGAGAAGGGAAGAATAAGTGTTCTGTTGTACTGTAAATGACTATAGTCAACAATAAGATACTGTAGATGTCTCAGGCTCACATATAATCCCAGCATTTGGGAGGCAGAGGCAAGAGGATCACCTAAGCCCAGCCTTGGCAACTTGGCAAGAACTGGTCTCTACAATAAAGCAAAAAATTAGCCATGTGTGGTAGTACACACCTGTAGTTCCAGCTACTTGGAAGGCTGAGGCAGAAGGATCACATGAGCCCAGCAGGTCAAGGCTGTAGTAGCCATAAGCGTACCACTGCACTCCAGCCTAGGGACAAAGTGAGACTTCAACTTAAAAAAAAAATTGTAGATCTCAAAATAGCTAGAGGAAAAGATTTTGAATGATAAATGTTTGAGGTGATAGGTATGCTAATTACCTTGAATTGGTCATTATACAGTGTATGCATGTATTGAAGCAACATGTTGTACTCCATAAATATGTACAATTATTATGTGTCAATTAAAAATAATCATAACCTTTTTTTTTTTTTTTTTTTTTGAGTTGGAGTCTCACTCTGTCACCCAGACTGGAGTGCAGTGGTTGCTCCCAGCTACCGCAACCTCGACCTGCTGGACTCTGGTGATCCTTCCGCCTCAGCCTTCCGAGTAGCCGGAATTACAGGAGTGCGCTACCACACCCGGCTAATTTTTTGATTTATTGTAGAGATGAGGTCTCGCTGCCCAGGCGGGTCTCGAACCCGCGGGCTCAGGCAATCCACTCACCTCAGCCTCCCAAAGGTGCGGGATTACAGGCTGAGCCACCGAGCCCGGCAATCATAATCTTTAAAAGTATTTCAGGAAGGGAATTAAAAGGCAAAAAAACAAACTGGGAAAAACATTTGGTGATGAAAACGAAGGAGTTACATCAACAAGGATACCTGCATAATGAACATTTGTATACCTAATCCTGAATTGTACCCCACATCTTTAAAATAAAAAAAAGAAATTCAAATAAATAAATAAAATGAAGGAGTTAATATTTATTTTCCACAAAGAGCTCTCTTTGTTAACATGAAAGCACTGAGTCCCAGGTCAGGGATGTTCAGAGACTCCTTAACAGATACAGGGAAGCACATCAGAAACAGCCTTCTGTTGTGTAATGTGAATGAGAAGAGAGTCAATAAAAAGAATTATTATTGACAGAGGAGAACAGCTAATGTGAATGTCCAGCCATAGAGATAGCTAAGAGGGGAATAGAGTGAAGACATTGGAAATGTTACAGATGGTATGTAATAACATAGCTGATGGTAATGGTAACTAGTTTAAAAACAGGATATGGAACTGTAAAAATAAACATGATTTCCTACCACATAAAAAAGGCAAGTGAATGAGTGAATAGGAAAAAAAGACTAGAAGAAGTATTTAAATGTTAGCTATAATTGGACTTAGATGATGAGACTTCAGGTTAATTTTTAAACTTTTTTCTGTGCTTTCTTTTTTTTGAGACAGGGTCTTACTCTGTTACCTAGGCTGGTATGCAGTGAGATAATTATAAGCTTACTGCAGTCTTGATCTCCTGAGCTAAAGCAATCCCCCCATCTCAGTTTACAAAGCAGCTGGAACTGCAGGTGCATGCCACCACCCTACCTATTTTTTTCCTTCTCTTTTTTGTGGAGACAGGGTCTTGCTATGTTGCCCAGACTGGTCTCGAACTCCTAGTCTCAAGTAGTCCTTTTACCTCAACCTCCCAAAGTGCTGGGATTATAGGCATGAGCCACTGCACCCATCCACTGTGTTCTATTTTTATATTTTTTTCAAAGTTTTATTAAATGAACACAATACTTTTATAAGGATGAATTATATGTCCTTTTTATTTATTTATTTATTTTATTTTTTATTTATTTTATTTTTTTTTTGAGTTGGTGTCTCACTCTTTCACCCAGACTGGAGTGCAGTGGCCGCTCCTGGCTACCGCAGCCTCGACCTGCTGGGCTCCAGCAATCCTTCCGCTTCAGCCTTCCAAGTAGCCGGAATTACAGGCGTGCGCTACCACGCTCGGCTGATTTTTTGATTTATTGTAGAGATGAGGTCTCGCTGCCCAGGCGGGTCTCGAACCCGTGGGCTCAGGCAATCCACTCACCTCAGCCTCCCAAAGGCGTGGGATTACAGGCTGAGCCACCAAGCCCAGCTTATATGTCCTTTTTAAAAACACCGTTTTCCCCTTGATTGGGAGCAAGACAAGGATGCCAGCTTTTGGCACATCTATTCAACATAGTATTGGAAGTTCTACCAGAGCAGTTAGGCAAGAAGAAGAAATAGAAGGTATACAAATTAGAAATAAAAGAATAGAACTATTTCTGTTGTATTCATAGATGACATCGTACTTGTAGAAAACCCTATCGATCTCACCAAAAAGCCATTAGAACTAATAAAGAAATTCACTAGGTTGCAGGATAGAAAATTAACACAAAGATCAGCTGCATTTCTATACCCTAGCCATGAATAATCTGAAAAAAATTTTTAGGAAAGCAGTTGCATTTACTGTAGCATCAGAAAAAGTAAAATACTAAGGAATAAACTTATCTAAGATGGTGAAAGACTTGAACACTGAAAACTATAAAATATTACTGCAAAATTAAAGATGACCTAAATGAATGGAAAGACATCCATGTTTCTGGATAGAAGACATTAACATTGTAAGATGTATTACCCAAAGCAGCCTATATTCGGTGTAATCCCTATCAAAATTCCAGTGGCATATTTTTGCAGAAATAGGAAAACTCATCCTAAAATTCATATGGAATCTCAAGGGACTCCAATTAGATAAAACAATCTTGAAAAAGAAAAGGTGGGAAGATTCATACTTCCTTATTTCAAAACTTACTGTAAAGCTACAGTAACCTAACAGTGTGGCACTGGTATAAGGTCAGACGTAATAGACTGGTAGAATAGAATAGAAAGCCCAGAAATAAATCCTTGCACCAAATCATTTTCAACAAGGATGCCAAAACCATTCAGTATCAAAGGACAGTCTTTTCAACAAATGGTATTGGAAAAACTGAATATCCACATGCAAAAAAAGTGAAGTTGGGCCCTTACCTTTATGCTGTATACAAAAAAATTAACTCAAAATGGATCAAAAACCTACACATAAGAACTAAATAAAATTCTTAGAAGAAAATGGGGGAAAATCTTGACATTGATTTGGCAGTGACTTGAATATGACACCAAAGCACAGACAGCAAAAGAAAAAATATGTAAATTGGACTTCATCAAAATAAACTTCTGTGCATCAAAGGACACTATCAAAAGAGTGAAAATACAGCCCACAAAATGGGAGAAAATATTTGCAAGTTGTATATATAATAAGATATTAATACCCTAGAAGGAATTTTGAATGACATTTTCAATTTAGAAAAAAACTTTCTTGTATTCTCTGTATCTCTTCTAAGTAGGTATTAGAAAGCACATCTACATTGAACTCCAGTAAACTACATAATGTTAAGATAATTGCACTGAAGCTGACCCTGTGTGTTCTGACAGTAGTTGTGAAGAGTGGATCATGGAAATGGTTCTCTTCACCAGTGCTCCCTCTGGTTCTCTCTAGGATTCCACCAGTGTTGTTGCTGCCCTTCTCATAGACTTCAAAAGCTCATTGCTTCCTCATCTCCCAGTTCACTTCCATGGATCAAGCAATTTTCTGATGATTGTCTTTTTCCCCAAATCAAAGATATACCAAGCATTTTACTCAGAGGTAACATCAGTCATTATTCAGCGAAACAAGTATGACTTTTTTTCTCCTAGTACTTTAGATGGGTCCTGGAATGGTGCTCTTGGCAGTGAAGGTTGAAAGCCTAAAGAAACTGAACAAAAGACTTTTTAGCCTTTAAGAAAAATCGACTTTGTCCTCTTTAAATCCTAATTAGACTTATTTTTCTTTTAGCTACTTTGCTGAATTGTTGGACACTACCTACTGAATTAGAGCTCTCTCGCCTACCCCATGCTCCCCTTCCCTGTGGGTTGTCACCTGGCAGGCTGCACATTCTAGATGCTCAGCACAGACTGCACAAGTGAGAATTATTTAACTCACCTAGAGACCAAGCAATAGCCAAAGTCAAACTGTGACAGCTGCATGACTGGTGGGAATTCTTGGAAAGGTGTGATTATAGCAGCTTGTGAGGTGATGATGTCCCTCCCTCAGTACAGATTTGCAGAACATGGAGGAGACAAGACCTGACGTTTGCTATAGAGTGGCTTCTCATCCCAGCCTGTGTCTCCCCCTCTTATGCCTGCTAGGTGTTCTTACCTCCTTGTGCTTGTCTTTTCAATCTGGGAAAGCAGAGACAGCCATTGAGATTCTTTTCAGTTATCCCTCTGCCTCTAGGCAGGAGTTACTTGAACCACTCCTGTCAGTCTGCCCCATCACCATGGAGAGTATGCCCCTGCTGCCAGGACAGTGTTACCCAACCCTTTCCTCCATGTTTCCTGACCTCTGAAGAGCAGAACTCCTCAGGAAAGGAACCCAGAAAGACATTCTGGTTTTTAAAAATATAGAACAGAATTGCTTCAGGCCTCTCTTTTTAAAGCAAGCTTGTTTGTTATAGTGGTTTTTCTCTGCACTGTCTGGATTTTCAGCAACCATCAAATCCCCATGTGGGTTCCATATCCTGTTGTTGGTTTAAAGTGTTCTTTGCTCAAATTCTGTTTTGTTTAGGTCTTCTCCCCCTGGCAACAGCAGGATAACTCAGGGCTCTCTTTAAAAGTGATCCAGGAAGATGGATTATCTGTGGAACAAAAGAGATTGTAAGTAACTGCTTCAGTGTTTGTGCTTGCTTCCCTGAGCTTTGTGGGTGTGCCCTCTCTGCAGGATGCCTGGTGTTATGTAATGCAGGGGTCTTGGCTTCTGAAAGGGCCAACACAGTCATTTTGGTGCTGCCAACTTGCAGGTAGCCAGTGTCCTTAGGGAAATGGAAAGCAAGAGAGATGAAATCCACCAAGAGTCAGAAACTCAGTATTGTCAAGGGGCTTCAGGCCAACCTTTCTCCGTGGACATACTCGTCATCATGCACTAATACTGCATTTGTTTAAGTCAGTGAAATGCTTGTTTTGGAAGCGTTGACTCTGTCACTGGAGTCTGGCTTGAAAGCATCAGAACAAGTTGTATAAGTGGGTGTGCTGTAGGGAGATAGAGCTCTAATCTGCTAGTTTTTGATATTTCAGGCACACCAGTGCACAGAAGCTCTTCAGTGCCCTGAGCCATCCTGCTGGGGAGAAACGGAGTTCGCTAAAGCTACTCTCAGCCAAACTCCCAGAGCTGGACTGGTGAGCTCTGGTTTTCTGTTTTTAGAGGTTTAGTTTTCTGGCTTTTGAAATGTCAGAGACTTCAATTTTGGTCCTTTCTCAGCTCTTTTGTCTTATAGCTTCTTAGGGATCATTGTAAGGTAGTAATGACATACCATATACAATTTTATTCTCTAGAGCAGGGGTTCCTAGCCCCTGGGCTGTGCACCGGTACTGGTCCATGGCCTGTTAAGAACTGAGCCACACAGCAGGAGATGAGCAGCAGGCTAGCAGATCTCCGTCTCCTGTCATATCAGCTGAAACATTAGAGTCTCATAGGAGCATGAACCCTATCATGAACTACACATGCAAAGGATCTAGGTTGCGCACTCCTTATGAGAATCTAATGCCTGATGATTTCCTCCCCCATCTGTGGAAAAATTGTCTTCCATGAAACCGGTCCATGATACCAAAAAGATTGGAGACCATTGCTCTAGAAAGAATCTCCCTAAGATTTATCTTTCAGCAGTCAAGAAGTTTCTCAGCCGGGCTCGGTGGCTCAGCCTGTAATCCCGTGCCTTTGGGAGGCTGAGGTGAGTGGATTGCCTGAGCCCGCGGGTTCAAGACCCGCCTAGGCAGCGAGACCTCATCTCTACAATAAATCAAAAAATCAGCCGGGCATAGTAGGGCATGGTAGCGCGTGCCTGTAATTCTGGCTACTTGGAAGGCTGAGGTGGAAGGATCGCTGGAGCCCAGCAGGTCGAGGCTGCGGTGGCCGGAAGCGGCCACAGCACTCCAGTCTGGGCGACAGAGTGAGACTCCAACTGAAAAAAAAGAAAAGAAAAAAAAAAATTTCTCCTGTTAGTGGGCACATTCAGGCAAGGCTGGTGATGGTAACATAATAGCAGTGTCTTTGTTTTTTTAGGTTTCTCCAGCATTTTGCTGTTAGCAGCATTAGTCGGGAGCCTGTGATGCGGACCCATCTTCCTATCCTGCTACTGCAAGCTGGAATCAACCCTACCCACACGGTAGAAAATGATAAGGTAAAGGAGCTCCCCCAAATATGCTGATAATCCACAGGAAGATAATCCTGAGAGCCTGCCCTTGGATCTTTGTGTCAGTTAACAACAGGAGCTTGGGTGGAGTTCCTTTCCTAAGACTGTCCACCTCTTTGGTTACTGATGTCATGATACACATGAAACTCTACTCTCTACATTGACTGGTTCAGGCATCTACATTAACCCTGGCCAAGCCTCGTGACAATGATCAAACCCTGGCATCTTGCTGTGCCCTTCCCTGGCCTTTCCAGGTCTTTTAAACTCTTGCTGTCTTTCTGGTTATGAAGAAGATTTACCTGGCAGTGGCTGACACATTGTGCTTAATAAGGGGAAGAGTACCCATGTTATTTGGGCCTTGCTGGAATCGCCAGGGTAAGGTGATACTTTATAAACATTGTTTTCCCTAGAGAAGACAATGTTTATAATTTTATCCACTCCTGCCTCATGCTTCCCTCCTCTGACCTCCCTGCTCCCACCATTCCTGAGCTATAGGTCTTAATAGACTCAAGGAGGACATTTATTTCTGTGCAAATTTAGACAATGTTCAGCTGCAAAAGGAAATGGAAGCACTAAGGTATTAGAGGCATCATTTTTTCCCTTAGGTGAGAGTATGAAAAGCCTACTTGTTATATTTGACTAAACAGACGCTCTAGGACTGGCTTTAAAGTAAGAGCATGTCCAGCTGTACGCACATGTGCTGTGATTTCAGGGACTGAGACCTGGGCACTGAAGAGTAAGAATCAAGATGGAAAACGCTGGATGGGAGGGAGATAAACAAAACCTCAGTTCCATGGAGTACTGCCCGAGGGTGCAGAAAGAGATAGTGTAGAGGCCACCGTAGTGCAGAAAGGGATAGTGTAGAGGCCGCCGTCAGAGGGGACAAGCAAGAACCTGTGAGTCCCAAAAAAAAAGAGAGATTCTTGCCTGAGCCCGCGGATTCGAGACCCGCCTGGGCAGTGAGACCTCATCTCTACAATAAATCAAAAAATTAGCTGGGCGTGGTAGCGCGCACCTGTAATTCCGGCTACTCGGAAGGCTGAGGCAGAAGGATCGCCGGAGCGCAGCAGGTCGAGGCTGTGGTGGCCGGGAGCGGCCACTGCGCTCCAGTCTGGGTGACAGAGTGAGACTCCAACTCAAAAAAAAAAAAAAGAAGAGAGATTCATGCTGTCTTCTCTGTGCTGATGTGGTCAACTCAGGTCTCGTGTGCCACCAGGCTTAGCATTAGCATAAGTTATCTGTGACTGGGCCCATCCCAGTGAGTCTTGTATATTCTGAAATAAAGCAGATAATTATAGGTACTTGCCATGCTATGTCATTTGCATAGACCTTCTTCAGTGATTGCATGGTTCCTGTCCTTCCCTGCCTGATGATTTCTTTTTAAGTGAATTTCTTAAGTTGCTTTGAAATATATACCCAAAGAGGGGCCTGTTTTTATGTGGTTGTATAATAAGGTTAGGACAGTCCAGCCCGGCTTATCTTCTCCTCCTCCAGAGTCAAAAGTTACTTCCCATATCCAGTGGGTTTCAGCTTAACTTAGGCCATGTTGCTTGTAGAACACAGGCAGCCAGGCAGAAACATCCCTGGTGCCACTCTTCCCCACTGCCAAGTCCACTGTGCTAGCATCCCGAACCTCCTTTCTGCCTAGTATTTTCCTAAGAAGCTTTATTATTTGAAATAAGTTATAATATTCCTGAATGTCAGCTTTTACAAAATAGATCTAGAGCCTCAAGTAGGTAGGCCCTTCAATGCTTTGCATTTTAACTGATCTATTCTCAACCTGCTCTGTAGAAATTAGAGTAGCAACACTACATTTTATATGGTGTTTGCTATATGCCAGGCACTGTTCTAAGCACTTTACATATGTTAACTCAGGTAATCCTCACACCCATCCTACAAGGTAGGCTCTGTCATTGGCTCAAGGTCACAGAGCTAGTGAGTATGGTGCTGGGGTTCAGACCCACAGAGCTTGACTCCAGAAGTCAGTTCTCTTAACCTCTTCTTACACAGTGTAATGAGGTTGAATTGCAAACCCACATGAGTTTTCTTTCATGTAGGTGATTATCAGCATCGTAACCGGCCTCCCAGGCTGTCATGCTAGCGAGCTCTGTGCTTTTCTGGTCACCCTGCATAAGGAATATGGCAGGTTAGTATGGCTGTTGCCTTTGCTTTGGGAAAAAGGATTCTATACCTGGGCCTACCTAGGCACTGGGAAACCTTGGACATGTCCTGGCCTTTGATATAATTGGTTTTAGCAGGGTAGTCATCCACCCATCCACCCATTCACCCATTCATCCATCCATCTATCCATCCATCCATTTAACACTCTATACTGAGTACTTCCTATATGCCAGACAGTGTACTGAGTGTGAGGGAATACATCAGTGACAAAACAAACAAGAACATCTTCTGCACTCATGGGGCTTACATTCTAGTTTGGGAAGACAACCAGATAAGGAAAGCATAGTATATTAGCTAGTGAAAGTGCTGTGGAGAAGATAAAACAGAGAAGGATATAGGAAGTAAAGGGCTGGGAGTGGGATTCTAGGGGCTTTTTTGGTTTTGGTTTTTGGTTTTTTGGTTGTTTTTTTTTTTAGAGGCAGGGGTGCACTCTGTTGCCTAGGCTAATGTGCAGTGGTGCGATCATAGCTCACTGTAGCCTCAGACTCCTGGGCTCAAGTGATCCTTCTACCTCAGCCTCTCAAATAGCTGGGACTACAGATGTGACCCACTGCATAAGAGAAATTGGGTGGTCAGGGAAGACCTCACTGAGCAGATGACATTTGAGCAAAAACTTGAATAAATAAAGGAGTGAACTATGCAGATATCTGGGGTAGATCATTGTAGCAGCAGGACAGTTTAGTACCATGGTGGTTATAAGAACTGGGAGCTAGTGGATATGGTGATCCTCCCATGACCACAGAGGGAGTTTAGGTGCAGCAGGAACTGGTTGGCTTAGGTGAAATTGGGACATTCATTCAACCTTCACTTCCACCTGTCTGCCAGATTACTAAACAACCCTTGCTGACTAAATTCGGCATTTAATCTAGTTGGTTTACCCTATACTAAAGTAAGGCATCTGCAGGAGGCTATAAAGGAACTGAGAAGACTGAAATTGCCTAGAAGTTGGCATTTTAGGGTGGGAGATTGTAGGGGATGGGGAGGCGAGTTTTGGAGAGAGCTGGGAAATACTGGACCTCATTTATTAAGCACCTGATGGTTAACCAGATCCTCAAGTCTAATGCTTTTGTTCTGTAAACATTTTGAATTCTTCCCCTGCCCACTTTCTATTCTTAGCAAGAGTTTTCCTGCGTACCAGACTGAAGCCTTTTTTTTTTTTGCATATTCCTCCAGGCAGTAACTGCCTGGTCAGGAGTCTTTTCACTGCTGAAGGCTGTTGGTTGTGTGCTTACCTGGCCATTTTTCCTGTGGCAAGGGGTTTCCTGTCAAAAGCCCCAATGGTGATGGTTTTGGGATGCCAGGCTTCCAATCCAGCTAGTGCCCTCTGCCTTTTTCTGTGGGGCCAGGATGGCTTTTCCCTATACAAACTCACTGGGCAGAATATCTTTGCAAGTACTGGTTACATTTGGATTCAGGGCTGAGCCTACGGGGCCAGGCCATCAGGTGGCCCCCATGCTGAGATTACCTTTGCCGTTTCCAGGTGGATGGTGTACCGCCAAGTCATGGACAGCTCTGAATGTTTTCATGCTGCCCACTTCCAGAGATACCTTTCTAGTGCCCTGGAGGCCCAGCAGAACCGCTCTGCCCGCCAGTCAGCCTACATCCGCAAGAAGACCAGATTGCTGGTGGTGTTACAAGGGTGAGTGCTGAGAGTCTTCCAGGGTTGGTTGAATTGAGGTAGAGACCTTGCCATTACTGTTATTTCATGAGTAGTGAACCTGAAGCATAGAACAAACTGCATACGTGCATGAGCAGTGTCTGTGCTACAGAGAGACTGCAGCCGAGCAAGGACCCGTTGCCATCCTGTAACCTACAGTAGCTTGCACACATGTTTTTAAGTTTGCTTTAACAGCATAATATAGTTGGGCGCGGTGGCTCACGCCTATAATCCTAGCACAATGGGAGGTGGAGGCAAATGGATTGCCTGAGTCCAGGGGTTTGAGACCAGCCTGGGCAACTTGGTGAGACCTCTTCTCTACAATAAATCAAAAAATTAGCCAAGTGTAATGGAGCTACTGTGGTTGGCAGAGGTGGAAGGATCCCCTGAGCACAGTAGGTCAAGGCTGCGGTAGTCATAAGCATGCCACTGCATTCCAGTCCGGGTGATAGCGAGACTTTGACTCAAAAAAAAAAAAAAAAAAAAGCATAATATCTCCAAGAGATCAGAAATTAAGGCACCTGGGCAAGGTTCTCTGATAATTTTTGTAACAATATTGGTCCCTGAGCCTCTTCCTTTTAGCTAAGGACGTCTGTTTCAGTCCTCCTTCCTGTGAAATTACAGAGATGGTTCCCACACTCTGCGATCTCCAGCCCCAGAGAGCTGGCCCAGGAAGGTTTCCTGGGACCCTCTGAGGAACACGAATAACTGGATTGGATCAGGGGCTCCCCCTTCATAACTGTGCAGAACTATGATTGTAGGCTGACTAGCTGATGAGGTCCCTATGGAAGCAGGATTATCATGGGTATGCAGCATGGGAGGGCTGATTTGACAGCATGTGTCACTGCTTTGGGAACTCTGGCTAAAAGAAGCTTCCCTTTACCTGTCTAAGGCCTTTCAGGGAAGAGCCCTCACAGGCCTATTACCACCCTAGCCTCACAGGCGAATATGCCAGGTCAGGAAAACATGAACTGCTTTTCACTAGTGTCATGGTTGGTAATAAAGAAGCTTTTGGCAGTTCTCACAAAGTGCTTTAGTGCTATGCTACATTTTTTGTGCTCATAATAGTGTTTGTAATTGTCTAGTTCTTTCCAGTAAGGAATAGGCCCCAGTCCAAAACCTATTTGGTCTACTGGCTGTGATGATAAGAACTGAAGGAAAGTTAAGACAGTGGTCCTGAGGAGGGAGGTATGTGGGCCTGTGTGCCACCAGACCAGCATTCCCCTTGGTGCCTCGTTCTCACACCCACCTCCAGCTTCCCTTCTGTCAGCCCTTTTGTCCTGCTGTGGGCTAGGTTCATAGAAGCCACAGAGGAGTAGTCTGGACTTGAAACCACTTGTTTTCCATCACTTCTGCTGGTCAGAGGAATGGGTTGGCCTAGCTCCTTCACATCCTGCCCCCACCAATTGGGAGTCATTGGGGTTGTGGTCCTGGAGATGAGTTTGGCAGTTTAGAAGAATGTAGCTGAGGTCATTTCCACCCCCACTGCCTCAGAGAGCATCATTGACTCCTTGTCTCTGATTTACAAGTCTGCAAAAGTGTCAGCTGTCCTGACTGCTTGTAGACCGCAATGACAGTATATGACCAGCCCCTTCTTCACTGCAGACCTGGCTTTTGTCCAGTCACAGCCCCAAATGCTGGAGACCTCCAATAGGTTTCCTGGGGGATTGAAGTCAGAATACCAGCTGAGTGCTGTGGCTCTTCACTAAGGCACTGTTTTTATGGGCCGGGCCCAGGTAGCAGCCTCCTTTATAGCTTGTCCATCTCCTTGGGGCTGGATCTTCATGCTCATTATTTGTTGGTGAAGGGAGGTCCCAGAGGCTTCTCAAATTAAGAATTTTCTTCCTTGATATGACTTTTCTTTTCTTTTTTTTTTTTTTGAGTTAGAGTCTCA